AGAGAGAGAGAGAGAGAGAAAGAGAGAGAGAGAGGGAATCTCACTATTGGTTGCCCCCATCCGCACCCTGACCAGGCATTGAACCTGCAACCCAGGCATGTGCCCTGATGGGGAATCAAGCCCACGACCTTCCGGTGCACAGGACAACACTCCAACCGAGCCACACACCTGCCAGGGCAGGGCGGGCCAAGTTTTATGTGATCTCAGTTAAAACCACTAATATCACAAATGGCCAGTTCTCTCTGTTCGGGTTACCACCAGGGGGCACATTGACTTACACCGAGCTCCTGACCCTGGCAATAGGAGCTTAATTTACTTTCTGCATCCACTGGGGCTCCTCACGGATTTGAAGCCAGGCTTTCTGGCACAGCTAGAAACCTGCAAACCCCCATGAGCAGGGAAGGCCTGATTACCAAAGCCAGGAATTGTCAGCCTGGCACCTCCAGGAGGAATCGGGCAGAGACTGGGCGGTGCCAGTCCCAGCCCCAGGGAGAGTAACTAAGGCACCACTGCAGGTCCCTGTCCCCTCACCCCAAGGGCACTGACAAGTCTACTAGTCTTGTCTTGAGCTTTCTAAATCTTGTTTCAACTTCCCTGATCTTTGTGTCTTGCCTCCCAGATTTTAAGTGGTTTCCGAGGGCTCCAGATCCAGATGACAAACAGTAAACCTGAAAGAAACCTACTTCCCTTTCTGTATTTGGTCTGCACATTAGTGTCACCAGGTGTCCACGTGAGTCTGAAATACCAGCTCCCAGGGAGGGCAGGGCTCTGTAGAGGGGTCAGCATGCTCCGAAAGTGGATGGAGGCTGGCCCGCTGGGCTGGGGAGGGCCAGGCATCCACTCAGCACCTGACAGCTGAGCCCACTCTGCGGGGCTGGGACCCAGGGCAGGGACTGGAACAAGAGGGGGAAGCCGCTAGAAGGTTCGGGGTGTGGGTGGAGGTGTAGGAGGGGAAGAAGAGGCGGGCTGTGCCAGACACTGGCTCTGTGAACTTGGGCGGTGGCTGAAGCCCTGGGCCTCTTAATCCCCAAACACGGGCAAGAACACCTGCCCTCCCTGCTTAGTGGAGCTTTTCTGGGGATTAGCAAGGACACTGGGTGTGGACGGGCTCTGAGCCGGTAGAGCTCTAGGCAGGCGTGAGGGTTGCTTTCATCCCCATTATTTCAGCATGAGAACCACATCTGCTGGCTGCTGAGCTGTATCCGGCCATTAGCTCGAGGTTGGGACTAATTGTTCTTTAATTAAAAAATTTTTTGCTTAATGTTTTATGAGTCACACAAGTGAGCATCTCTATAGCAAGAACATCTCACTTTCAGAGATGGCCTGTCTGTCTAATCATGACTGTGAAGAGGTCAGGTGCAACTGGCCCTCTTTCCTGCAGGCCCACTGTGCACACTGCGTGCACACAGCAGTGCGTGGGGTGAGCGAGATGGTCTCTGCCCTTGAGGAGGCCAGGACAGACCAAGAAGGCCTGCTAGGCTCTCTGTGATGCTTACAGAGTGGGGCTCCCTGCAACAGGCACAAATGCGGCCCACAGGCAGTGGCAATGGAAAACATCAAGCAGGGCAAACACAGGATGCCAGCAGCCAACATAATCCAGCAGCAAATGTGCCACTGGGGAGACCACAGCAGGTGGTGGCATTGAGCTGGGCCTTGGACAGGGGCAGGGTTCTGCCCTGTGAATATGGGCCCAGCCCAGGTTAAAGGTAGGAAGAGGTCAGGGCAGAGAACACCTAACAAGGACCCTGCCCTCAAGTCCACTTGAGAAGAAAAGAAAAATGGAGAACATGAAAGCCGCCTAAACATGATGTGGATATAGTGAAGGGCCAAAGGACGGTATGTGTGGCAGAGGGCAGGGGGCTGAGCTGTACTCAGCCGCCCTGCAGAGGCTCCAGGGCACGTGCAATAGAAACAGCAGCGGGACTGTTCGAGGACAAGCCTGGACCATGTGCGAGGCTCAGCCCTCAGAGGCAGAGTGGACTCGTGGACAGGAGCCACACTGGACACTGGGCTGGGCTGCCTGGGCTTGCAGGACAGCCATCAGTTCCCAATCCTCTATTTACAGACTCCACCCACAGCCCCCTGGCCATGCCAGTCAGAGGGCCAGTTCCCCGAGGGCCAGGGCTATCTGCTATCCTTCAGCGTATCCTGAGGGCCTTCTTCCTCAGGGCTCCAAGACGAGGGCACCTTACCTCGTTCTGGCTGAGAGAAAAATTACAGGACTTTCCTGCGTGACCTGTCTCCCCAGAGCAGAGAGGTGTCTTTTATTAAAGGGACAGGCTCTGCCCAGCCGGGCATGGCTCAGCAGTTGAACATCGACCTAGGATCCAGGCGATCAGGGTTCGATTCCTGGTCAGGGCACATGCCCGGGTTGCGGGCTCAATCCCCAGTCGGGGGTGTGCAGGAGCAGCCGATCAATGGCTCTCTCATCATTGATGTTTCTATCTCTCTCCCTCTCCTTTCCTCTCTCTAAAATCAATAAAGATATATTTTAAAGGGAAAAAAAAAGAGACAGGCTCTAGAATGAGCTTTATTTAGTATCCAAAAGTCAATCAGCACAGCCAGGCAGATTCACCTAAGAGCCTTAGACAATCACATAATTCATAAAGTGGCATTTACAAAGAGACGACATGACTGCTTCCCAAACTCACAGTTGCCCAAATGCCTCAGAGTCTGCCTGAGGCTGGGGTTGCCCTGGGGAGTCTGGAAGTAGACACAGCAATGGTGGCCTTCTCCATGGTCATCCCTGCAGCCCACGGGAAGGTTTAAGATGCTCTGGGGTCCCTGCAGGCATGCGGACTGAAGTGGGATGTTTCTGTGAGCCAGGAACACGTGGTGGGCCAGCAAAGCCCACATCGATAGCAAGAGCCAGGGCCTCCAGGATAAGGGGTCCTCTCTGACTAAATTGGCCACCTCTCTGGAGGGAGCATACCTGGATGCAACCACCACTTGGAAGGCTTCCAAAGTTGTGCAGGGGCAAAAACCCACTGCTGCCCAGAAATGGGTCCTGCTGGTGCCTGGTCACCCTCGGGAACAATGTGCCTGAGTGATGGGGCCACACAGCATCTACCCCCACTTGCTAGGCATGCTGTCTGACTCTCCTTCCCTGTTCTGTGCCTTCAAACCAGTTGTGCTGTGAGGATCCAGGGCCGCCCCACCACAGAATCCTCTCCTTGGGAGGGGAAGGGGAGCACACAGCAAAGCCAGCACAGACACCGCATCTTCACCTCGGCCTCAGCATCACTGTCCTTTGGCCTCTCCCTACCCCCAGATAACCAGCTGTGGCCAGGGGAGAATGAGACTGGGAAAGGGGGCACAAGGTACAATCCAGTGAGGAAGGACTTTTCTGATAGTGCATGGGACCCGAGTCAGAGCTTCCTATCCCTGAAAACAATCAATACAAAAGCTGGCAGTGGGGTAGAGGCTGGTCTTCTCTTCTTACTCGGAGCTGCAGCCACCAGACATTTTGGCGTCTGAAGTCCACATTTATTTTCTCTTTGTCTACAGGTGAATCACAGGCGAGTCTGCTAACCAGGATGCTAGGTTGCTGTTTCTTTTTTCTCTTTCTTCCATGTTTACGTTTACGGTGCCAGCTCTCAGAAGGACAGGTTGGGAACCTGGTCACTGACTGCTGGCTGCATTGTTAGTGTGTGCCCTGAAGGAAGTTCTTGGTCAAGATGGTGCCCTGCGAATAGACATCATTTAAAAGCTGCCCACAGAGCTGTCCAGGAGAAGGATGACCCCAAGATCATGTCGGAATGTTAATTAGATAAAATCTGCAACAGTGCTTTGGCCAAAGGGTGTGCGACTAAGACTCCTCCTGGGTGAGGCTTCTCTGGAGCATGACTAGCGCAGCCCCCACCGCTGCGTCCACATCCTGCCCGAAGGACACAGGGAAAGGGAAAGCCCTCTGCACCTCCTGCCTCAGCACCTCGTTCCTGGACAGCGCGCTCCCGCTGCTGACCACCCGCTCCACACCCCACTCTCGGAGCCGCTGGAAGGGAAGCATCGAGTGCAGGTTCTGAACAATGCCTCGGCACAGGGCCCGGGTCACGTGCCCCAGGGACAGGTCGGAGGAGGAGATCCTGGTCACTGAGGCCAGCTGGTCCGGCAGATGCCTCTCACCCAGCACTGTTGGAGTGATAGTTAGGCAGGTGTCTCTCTGCTCTGCAGCTGCCTGGATCATGCGTGAATACACAGTGGATTCTTCGACCTCCAGGCCTGCCAGGAAAAGAGAAGACCTGTGTGAGCTCATGCACCCCCTCACTGCATGATGAGACATTATAGAATTCCCTAGGGCAGGGATAGGTCTACTAACTTCTGCTTCTCACTGAAGCTGGCTGCTTTCTGCTCAGGGACTCACATAATGTGGCTAGCTATGCTATGCCCAACATCTCAGCCAGCTCTCACACTGCAGACCCCAGCCCAGACTTCAGGGAGAGGTCATGTAAATGTTGCTGTGAGCCCTAACCACCCCACAGCTATGGGATCCTTGGTCTCTACGGGGCCATAATGCATACACTGATTAATAAGTATCATGGGCCCTGGCTGGTGTGACTCAGTTGGTTGGGCATCGCCCCATGCACCAAAAGATTGCCAGTTCAATTCCCAGTCAGAGTACATGCCAGGGGTTATGAGCTTGATCCCTGGTAGGGGGCAAGTAGGAGGCAGCTGATCAATGTTTCGCTCTCACATCGCATTGATGTTTCTCTCCCTCTCCCTTCCCTCTCTCTAAAAATCAATAAAAAATAAAGTATTGTCATGGCTGCTACTGGACTTATTAGCAGTGTCAGAAAAATACCAGGATCACAAGGCTGATCATGGTCTAGCCCATCCCCTGGCAGGAGCAGAGAACCACCAGTCTAGACTAGTGCTTCTCACATCTGAAGATGCATAGGAATCATGTAGGGATCTTATTAAAATTAAGATTTTCAGGTAAGGGAAGTACACCTAGAGTCACTGTGGAGTCTCATCATCAACACATTTAACTTATACAAACACAACTATACGTGTCCAGGAACCAGAGAGAGAGAAATAATTTAAATATCATAGTGAAAATTTGATCAACAGGAGTCTGGTTAAGCTCTACTCAATGAATATGTGTCTTTCCTCCAGAAATTCTACTAAAATTTCAGAAACAATCATGTGCTTGGTGGATAACCAAGTACATGTGTGAGTGTGCAAATCTGTAGAACTGAGTCCTTGGAGGGGAACTGTTGGGTCAAAAGATATGCTCATGGTGTTCCCTCCTTAGAAGCTATACCAATTTCCACTGCACAGCAACACACAAGAGTGAGTCTCTCTCCATAGCCTAGGAAACAGTGTGTTGGAAACTTCTAAAGGAATAGATATAAATGTAAAGCCATCAACTAATGGGGAAAAAAGGAAAGGAGATAAAGAAAAACAGATCAATCAAATAGAAGACAGAGAGACTAAGGCGATATGATGACTAAATGCAATATGGTATCTTGGATTGAGTCCTGAAACAGAGAAAAGACATCAGTAGAAAATACAAATAAAACCTACAGTTTAAAAATAACGATGTGCTTGTATTTCCTTAATAAAAACTCAAAAATATTTTTATTGCTATCTTTGTTGCCACAGCACATTCTCAAAACTTTTTTTTTAATCTTCACCCAATGATATATTTATCGATTTGAGAGAGAGAGGAAGGGAGAGGGAGACAGAGAGAGAAACATTAATGTGAGAGAGAAACATCCACCAGTTCTCCCCTGTACGCACTCCAACCAGGAATGGAGCCCGTAACCTAGGTGTGTGCCCTGACCCAGAATCAATCAAACCCGTGACCTTTCAGTTTATGGGATGATGCTCCAACCGAGCCACAATGGTCAGGGTCAAAGGTATTCTTAAGAAAATGTTAAAATACTGTGTTCTTCCTCACTGGGAACCACTTAGGCCACACGCAGGCCTTGAGGAACCCTTGAAGGAAGAAGGTGTACAGCAGCTGGGGGCCTAGAGATCTGACTTCTGGCCTGTTTCTGTGTCCCTGGCTCACTGCCTCAGCTGGTGAGATTAACAGCTGAGTTGGCCAATGTCCACACCATGGGCTTAGAACCACAGACCATCGGAGCTGGGAAAACAGAAAAGGGAAGGGACTTGCCACAGCCACATAATGACTCGGGGACAGAGCTGGGAACTGAGGCCACTCTCCTGGTTGCACCCACCATACTACCCTTATTTAACAAGCATTGTATCTCACTCACTACAGGCCAGACACTGTTCTAAGTGCTTCCCAATATTAACTCACTTAGTCCTCACAGTCCTTTGAGATAGGTACCAGGGTAATCCCCATTTTCAGATATGGGAAGTAAAGCACAGAGGAGTTAAGTAACCTTCCCAAAGGCACACAGGGGGTGGCAGAGCTGAAATTAAACCCAGGCCACCCAGCTCCAGAGTCCCTGCTCTAAACTACCGCACAAGTGTAGACGCCCTTTTTTCCAACCTCAGGAACATAATGCAAATTCAGGGTATTCTCAATAGAGCAAGAGTTTTATTTTTGTACTTCATGCTTTCATATTTCCATTTCTGGTTAATAAATGTGTCTTTATCTAAGTAAAATTTATTGTATTTACATTTATATCTTTTTTCCAATAAAATGACACAACTGTAGAAATTTCCTAAAAGGTTAAGTTACATAAAATACTAACCTTCAAAACACTCGTTGTTTCCTCAAAATAAGAACCAAGAAAATGCAAAAGATTTTTTAAAAGGATCTTACAGGGAAAGTAAATATTACCATGTCTTTCAGGGGCAAGAAAATGTGTCACTTCTATAGAAAAATAAACACTGGCCAACCCAATCCAGTTAAGCCAATAGATAAAGGACTTGCCTGAAGGTTCTCCTAACTGGTTCTGTATTTTCAAAACCTCTTCTGATACAATAAAACAAAATAAAGTTCTGTTATTTAAATGAAGCATTCCTGAGGAGACCCCAGCCAAGGAAGCAAAACTCCCCCAAACCCTGAATCCCTGGCCAGCCTGAAAAGACCCACATGAGTCAGCAACTTGTCTGTGTGACTGACAGTAAGAGCCTCCCACTGCTCCCCGCTGCCTGGGCTTCACCTTGTGACTGTTGGATGTTTCTTGGAATGGCATGATTTTGAGCTTCTACTGGTAGCCAATGAATCTGATAAACATGATTTCCCTAGACTAGAAACTTCATTTCTACCTTAAGTGCTTACAAAGGTTTCGTGTTTCCCTGTAAATGCAGAGCAGAAGAAGGCCTGACCAACTCTACCCTGAAATTTGAAGAAGAGAGCAGGAGGACGTCAGAGTCTCCAGGGAACCTCCTAAGAAAGGGACTCAGAACTATTCACCAGGATGAAGTGCTGTGAGGATTTTATAATATTGTAAAATACCAGGAGATTTTTCACTCATTCTTGTTTGATCCTTTTAATTCCAGCTGTGTATAGTCATCAGAAGGAAAACCTCAAACACAAGGGACCCAGGGGCTCACTGACAAATTAAGACAGCAGGGCAGGAGAAAACTGAGCAACTATTATGATGCTCCATGGTCTAGGTTAGGAGAGAAGGTGCCCCCTCAAAAGAAACAGTAGGTGACGGCAGCACAGGAGATGAGAGGAAAGCTAGAAGCTCAGGTTCCTAAGGAAGGAAGAGAAGTTCTAGAACCTGGCTGGGTCTGAGACATGAATCTAGAAGCTTCAACAGCACGTTTAGCACCAAGGCACTGCCACAATGAAAGGACAAGCAGAGAGGACACCACTGTATGGGCCACATCTTACCTAGGTCTGCCATCCACTGGACCAGCATCTGGACGAACGTGGCCAGCACATTGCCCCCATTTAGGGACGCTGCCACTGCCAGGTAGGTCCTGTCGAAGTAAGGGAAGTAGGCAACTGGAGCTGCAGGGTCTGGAGTCTGCGCTGGCTGGAACCCTGAAGGCATGGGGGCTGCCAACTGAACTGAAGTGCTGATGTTGAGAACTGGAGTCCAAGAAAAGCAAAGGTTAGGTCTGTCAGGCTAACTTGGAAGTCACAGGTCACCATAGGGCAGGGGGAGAGTGTGGTTTTAAAAATATGTCCAAAATTCTTTGATACTCTTTCTTTCAAGAGGTAGAGCCTAATTCCCCTCCCCTGAGCGTGGGCTGGACTCAGTGACTTTCTTCTATTGAAAAAATAAAGCAGAAGTGGCAGCATGTGACTTTGGAGAACAGGTCATAAAAAGCACTGCAGCTTCTGTCTTGGCTTGCTTGCCCTGGGAGAAGGCGGGTAGTATTGTGAGCAGCACTGTGGGGAGGCCCACGTGGTAAGGAGCTGAGGCCTACTGCTAACAGCCACCTGCGGGAGCTGAGAGGGGACCCTCAGGCCTGGTCAAGTCCTCAGATGAGGGTAGCCCCAGCCCACCAAGAGCTTGACTGCAATCTCATGAGGGACCTGGAGCCAACTCTCCAGCCACACTGATTCCTGACTCTTAGCAACTGTTTCATCTATTTTTGTTTGTTTGTTTCATCTATTTTAAACACAGACATTTACAACTGTTTACAGAAGTAAAACTTCAGCCAAAACGTTTTAATCTCTGCAGAAATTTTATTCATTTTCTGGGAATTCTACTTCCTTCTCATTTCCAAGGTGTTTTTGTGCAGACATGTGTTTTCAGTTTTCTTGGCCATATAATTAGAAGTAGAATTGCTGGGTCATATGGTAACTCCCTGTTTAGCTTTGTTGTTGTTGTTATTGTTGTTAATCCTCACCAGAGGATATTTTTTCCATTGATTTTTAGAGAGAGTGGAAGGGAAGAAGGGGGGAGAGGGAGAGAGGGGGAGAGGGAGAGAGAGAGAGAAAGAGAGAAACGTCAATGTGAGAGTGACACATTGATTGGTTGCCTCCCGCATGGCCCCTGATCAGGACTGGAGATTGAACCTGCAATGCAGGTGCATGCCCTTGACTGAGAATCGAATCTAAGACCTTTCTGTGTGCGGGCCGGTGCTCTAACCACTGAGAACACTGGCCAGAGCTTCCTGTTTAACTTTTGAGGAACTGCCAGACTATTTTCCAAAGGAGATGCACTATTTTACAATCCCAGCAGCATGGTCTTACATTTTTAAATGGTTGAAAAGAAATCAAAAGGGAAGACTATTTCATGACATATGAAAATTATATGAAATTCTAGAAAGAGTTTTATTGGAACACAGCTACACCCATTCGTTAATGAATAACTGTGGTTGCTTTCATGCTCCAACAGCAGAGTTAAATAGTTGTGACAGAAGCTATATGTCCCTCAAAGCCTAAAATATTTGCAGTCTGGCCCTTTGCAGAAACGGTTTGCTAACCGTGTCCCTACAATGCTGCCTTCACCTCACTGTGGCTCTCTTACACCAAATGCAGAAAAGACTCTAGACTTTTAATAAGAAGGGTGGAAACTTTCATTGATAAACACACGGTAACAAACACCCTAGTCTACTAATCTATATCCTTGGTCATGGAGTTACACAGAAACCAGCCAACTAGAGAGTCATTCCCTCCCCTGGCCCTAAAGAGGAAAGGTACAGACCGGGGTCAGGGACAGAACTGGGCCTGCTGAATTGTCAGCTCCCTAAACAGGGGCTTCTCCTATAGGGAGGAGGGTGTTTACCATGTTTACAGAATAACAATGGACAGCATGCTGAGGCTTCCAGGTATCTGTGCCTCTAGGACCCTCGCAGAGTAGAAGTCTACGGAGAGAACAAAAGGCTTACCTGCGTCTGTCCTGTGGGCCATACAGGAATAGACGGAGGCCTGTAAATCCCCCAAGGCCACGCCCACCTGCGTCCCCTTTGGGATTCCAAACCAGGCACGCACAGTCCTGCCCGCCGCACTGGCGGGCTCTGCGATGTCAGGGAGCAGGTGCACAGGAAAGCCGGAGGTCCTCAGTCTGCAAACCAAGAGTGGACAGCGTATTTACCAGTGCTTGGTTTTCTGGGGTTTGTTGTTTCCAGGAAACTCAACAAAGGAAAGCGTTACAGGGTACAGGTAGGAGAAGGGAGGGTCACAGGGGTCTTTTTCACTTTTTGAAAACCATCAGAAACAGGCTGAGATGTTTTAAAGAGTGGACACTAGCCTTCAAAAGCCTGAGACTGACCTTTAGGGGAAGAAAACAGTCAGTCCTAGCAGGGACGATCAGTAAGGTTCAGATAAGAGCCAGACAGAACTGGCATCCATCCCTGTATTTTAAGGGAACAAATACCCTGCAAAGGGTGTCTCGGTGCAGAATTGCCCTTGGTTAGCACAGGCCAAGCCCAAGTCAAAGCCATCGGTCATCTGAATACATTCGTCACTTGGGGTTAGTGAACACGGGGCTTTCAATTTTATAAAACATGCTAGAAAGTCCTTTACCTGAACTACCAGGTGCTTTTTGATTTATTACAGAGCTCAGAATTGGGGCTCTGAAGGAAGTGGACTTATAGGGCACTGGATCTCTGGACCTGAAAAGGCAAATGATTGTTTAAACAGAACTTAAAAGGCATCCCTCGCATCTACTACCTCCATTTCTTAACCTTATTTCAAAATATATTATAGAATGAAAGTTCTTTTTTTGAAATCTACAGGCTGAGCTGGGTCACAGAGAACCAACCCTAGGTCTTAGCAAGTGTGCCCACCCTAGGTCTCGGTGCCCACCCTAGGTCTTGGCAACTGTGGAGGAGCAATACAGCACAGCGTGGAACATGGCACCCCTCCCCAAGGGCTTCACTTAGCACCAGGCCTGTCCATGCCCAGTGCCTGGAACAGGCTGGGGGCCATTGGAACCTGACTCCTGGCCTCTTGGAATCCCTCACTATTCCCAAATAAGAAAGCCTGATGAAGCTCTAGCTCTAGAGACTCTGCCCTTCGGCTGGAGCTAGCCTACAAGGTTATACTCACATCTCCATGTTCCAGCTTTGTCTCTGGGTGTTGAAATATCCCCAGCTAGCAGCATTCTGGTCAGACATCAAGGGTCTTGGCAGATCACACAGCATGGCAACCACATAGTCATGGATGGTGCCAGCTGCATCGTAGGACTTCAGGAACTCTGGGCTGTTTTTCATACCAAAAACAATTCAGCATGGTCCAATGGTGACTTAAAAGCCTGTGCTACACTTAGCTGTGGGCAGTGTGGACAGGACATGGCAGAGCTGGGTGGCAGCTGGAATCCCATGTGTGTGGCTCCCCCAGATAGACCTCCTAAGGTGCTGCCCTCCCAGCTGCTCCAAGCAAAGCTGCCTTTAGGGGAGGGGACTTAAGGGAGGACATGCCCTGCCTCAGTAAGCAGGACACCAACTGTTCTCAGCAGTCCTGGCCCCACCATGAACTCACCACGTGACCCTTGGCAAGTCCCTTGTCCTCTCCAGCCTCTTCCTTCCCCCTCTGGGTGAGAATGGGATGACCAATAGAGAGCCCACCAGGAAGTGACACAGTTCTAGACCAAGTCTAGGTCACACTCACTGAGGAACCATCCAGTATACGGAGTGATGCTGACCAACTAGAGGAGCAGCCTCCTAGCCACTCTCATTCTCCTGGAAATATAGCACCCAATTCACAGAACAGTGGTCTGTACCTATTTTTCAAAAGCCAGAAGATAGTTGCACAGCCAAACCCCGTGGCTACACTGAGATGGGACTCTGGATGGGGCAGAGAAGCCAGGAACCCGCTGTTGCATCTGCCATCCTGCCACGTAACCAGGTTGCTCACAGCTCTGGGCTTGAACGCAGGGGCAGCCCCTCCCTCCATCCATTCACAGCCTGGAACAGAGCAGATTAGCAAAATCAGAGGAAAGAGCAACCGACCAGCAGCAGCATGTCTTCGAGATTCCTCTGTTGTGAGGTTCCAGCACAGACCGTGTCACCCATGAGAATGCTTCACTCCTACACAAGGGTTCTACTATCAGAGCACCCAGGGTTAGCACCTGGCTCCCCCATCCACAGCTATGGGACCCTGGGCAAGTCACTCCCTCCATTTGTCCCACTTCTTTATGTTCCTTTTTATTCACATTTTAAAGTTGATATTGTAACACACACACACACCACCAACCCCAGGTAAGAAAAGAAGCATAGCACTCTCTCAAGTCCCCTAACTTCTGTCCTTCAAGCCCACATCATAATGATATTATCTAGATTTATATCCTAGGGGTATAGAACATAAAAAAGCAAATACATAATACCAGGCACTTTGAGTTGCTGTGAAAAAATATACAACAGAGTAAGGGGATAGTGGTAGAAGTCCTCTCTGAGGTGACAGGTGAGGAGAGGCCGGAATGGAGTAAGAGAGTGAGCCATAAGAATATCTGGGGAGCCCGGCTGGTGTGGCTCAGTTGGGTGAGTGTCATCCTATGCACTGAAGGGTCACCAGTTCAATTCCCCATCAGGGCACAAGCCCAGGTTTCAGGTTTGGTCCCTGGTTGGGGTGCATGTGGGAGGCAACCTATTGATGTTTCTCTCTCATATCAATGTTTCTCTCTCCCTCTCCCTTCCTCCCTCTCTAAAAAAGAAGCAATAAAAACATATTTTAAAAAAAGATATCTGGGGATGCATGTTGCAGACAGATGAGACAGCCACGCAAAGGCTGTGAGAGATCTTGTCAATCTCTGGTTGGTATCCCTGGCTAGTACCCAGAAGCCCAGGGAGGCGTGTTCCAGGTGCCTGCATCTAAAGCATATCATGCTTCTCCTGGGGGGTGGGGATGGTTACTCCTTGGAGTAGTCTACCCTCACAACACATTTCTCCCTAAACCCGAAGCTGGGGTCCTCACCCCACCCCTAAAGCTGGATCTCTGCAGCTTTTCTTCAACTCCTTTATCTGCTTCCAAAATTCTTTTGATTTTTAGACTATCATTTTTATTTTCTTTGTATTATGGAGTTCTTACCAAGTACCCGGTATTATTCAAAGCACTTTAAAAATATTAACTCATTTCATCTACATAATAACTTTATAACATAGATATGATAATTATCCTCATTTTACACATAAGAAAAATGAAGAACAGGGAAGCTGAAGATTCTTTGCGAATGTTCACCTAAGTGGTAGAACCAGGGTTCAATTCAGGTAGCGTCTTTCAAAATCTGGCCTGAAAATTACTTTTTCCCTCTGTTTTTTCTTTCTTTGTTTTTTGCTTTTGTAGGGGTTTTGGCTGGGGGGG